CGTCGTCCGAGAAAAATAGCTTTTCGTCAATTGAGGATTCTTTGTCGGAGAGGAAAAAAAATGGAAAAGGATCGTTGCATTCAGTGGACAGATTATCAGCAGAGTCGCGAAACTCTCTTGATACTGAATCAAGTTCTGGAAGTTTAGGTTTAGCAGCTAGAATACAGAAAGGAGGAGTGGAAGGTTTGGTTGAATCTAGCTGCACTTGGAAACGTTTTCCGTTGGAGAGTGGTTCAGCTTCTTCCAGTTTGGAGGAGATCGGTCCTGATCAAGATTTGTATGGTCAAGAATATTTTTTGAGTAGAGAAGATTCAGCCGAGATGACTGCACTGGATGTTTACAAATTTGATCCGGATATGACGCCGACTCAAGAGACAATTGATGATGATTTGGATAAATATAACTATCCGATAGCTGGCATTTCCGCAGATTTGGTGGGATACGGAACATCGTTTTTGTCCCGTACATTATCCAGAATTTCAGAACGAAGTACTAATTCTGAGAAGACCAGCGTCGACGAAGATTCAACTAAAGCAAGCACCCAAAGTGATAGTTTGAACGACGAATCTCTATCTATAGAACAACAGGTGAGTTTAAGTTCGGATCCTCCAAGTAACGCTCATGGTTCGGAAACCGATAAGAAAGTTGATTCTAAGAGTAAGAAATCTTCAAGTAAACAAAGCGATAATAAATTTATCATTGAGCAAGTGCCAAATATAAGTAATCTCTTGCAACGGCAAATATCTGACGATAGACGTACATCTGCTGAAATGGCGGATTTGAGTATAGATGATATTGAAATTATAACTTCTGAAAGGGGTTTGAAACTACGCAGACAAGATTCTGATGATACAATTATCGATGAAGACATAGAATTAAAGGAAAAAGAATACTCGAGTAGTCAAGAAAGTGAGGAGTGGCCACTGCCGGAAATTCCACAAAAACCGTTGATGGCTTTGCACGAAACTCCGAGTTCTGATAATTCTCAATTAACAACCCAATTGTATCAGCCACCGAAAGCTAACATTCCTAAAGTTTTCGGTCTTCGTGGTTCATTGAAGAGTCAAGATTCAGAACAATGGCCATCACCGCCTTCTAGCGTGAATGAACCTAGAATTGTTGGGAATGTCGAAACACATTATATAATGCCACCAGAGGAAGCATGCAAAGTAGTAGTTGATTCCAATAGTATATATGAAAATGATTCTAATTCCATATCTGATAATGAAAATAAGTTGGAATACGACGGGGAGAAATCACATACCTATGAAAATGTAGCTGCGGATCAGATAAGTGAATCAATTTCTGAAAGTTTAAGCGTCGGGCCGAGCGGTGTTAAAATTGTGCTAGATAATAAATCTGGATCGAATTCTGGTTCTAATTCAGATGAACTCAATATCTCCAATTTAAATGACGACGTTTTTACCGATACCGTCGTTGATCCTAAAAACGAATTGCGACCTCCGACTGTAATGAGACGAAGCACGAATTCCGATGATTCTGATAAGAAATCTCATAGTTCGTATTCCGAGGAGGATGCAACTAGTTCAATGGGAACCACATTGGATGATGGCACTGTGAGATACGCTTTTAAACCCACCAAATGCACACACAGCTCTCATTCTGAAGATACCTCAATTGCATTGAGTTTGTCGGAATGGTCAAATAGCACAACCACAGTAAAGTTCCAAAATTTATCTAGTAATAGTGGTAAGAGTTCGGGATTGAAGAGCGACGACAATTCGTTGACTGATATTGCCCATTCCATTTCAGAATGGTCGAGTAGTAATAATAGCAATACTATAAAAGCGCAGAGTCTCCAGTTTCAAAAGCTATCCTCGTCGACTGGGGATAGCAGTACTTTAACTGAAATATTACCGACTATGTCCGATTGGTCTAGTTCAGATTCGAAAACTCTAGTAGCTCAAAAGTTCTTTCCACCTGCGTCTATCCCTGAAAGACCAAGCATAACTAGAATGGGTTCGAGTTTTGACGATGGAGACATCGACCAGCAAAGTTTGATAAGCCCAAAGAATATTCTTTCCGAAGATATAGTATCTTCAACAACCAAGGAAGGAGCTAAATTTTCGTTAAAATCTACTGAAAGACCAGTTATAATTCCACTGCCAATTTTGTCTGACGAAAAATCTACGGAAAGCAGTTCAATGGAGCAGAAGACAGTGCACACTCAAAGATATGATAAAGATAAACAGAAATACCAGAAACACCAATCGTTCAAGACTTCGTCAACTGAGAGACCTGTTAAAGTACCTCTGAAATTAGCAAAATGTTCGCCTTATTATTCGAGTAGTTTAAGTTCCGAATCGACGCCGTTAGGAGCATCTGTTGCTATTAGTAAAACGGCAACGATTCCATTGACACGTACCCACAAAAAGGGGGTGTTCCATGCTCGTAGCCCACCCAGCGAAAACGATTCAACTAGTTCGATGGAATCTCCGAAATGCAAAAGCGAACCACGAGATCGACGTGGATATCGTCGCCGCAAGAATACACCACAAAAACGACACAGATCATCCAAAGATGACTATTTCTATGCGGATCCCGAGGTTTGCGAGTACAACGAATACATCCGTAATCGAAGTCTCGAGGAACTTCCGTTCCGTTGCTACGAATCAGAAATTACTCCGTACGCTGAAAATTTAGAAGAGGGTTATTATCCGGACGGCGACTCTCAGTCAGGATCAGATATTTTTCGTATGGAAAGAGAGGAAGAGGATAAATGTGAACCGGAAGGTTTCGATGTATCCTCGATTCCGCCGCCTTTGATCGAGGACGATTTCGAGATGGATCGTTCCGATCAAATTTGATTCTAAATCTTCTGCACTTTATTCTAGTCATTTAGTGATATTTACCAAAATTAAATTAAACTTAATTGTTTCAAACGTACATTATACTATATAAATCATTTTAACTCTTAGATATGCGATTAATTTTAATATATTCAATGATATTCTTAACGAAGGAAGCATTTGCGATTGGTTCTGTAATTACCTCTTAATTTTCACATCAAACTAACGCATTTAGAAACTAATAATGGACACCATGCTAACGATTATTCATCTAATTAAAAAAAAGTATTACTAATTAACTAAAAAAAAAAGAAGAAAGAAAACATCATATGTATTAAGCTGTCTTCAAAGAGTTTTCGGCTAACAACCAAAAATTGTGTGATTATTTTACTTCGCTTTTCTATTATTTCTCATTTATCCGCCGCGGCGCACACACCTTTTTCTTTTCCGTACGGTTTCTGTTTTATATTTGTGTTTACTTTTGTGTTCTCTTCTGTTCCACTGGAAATAATCATGCAATTTTTTATATTTTTGCATTAAACGCAATCATTAATTGAAACAAGAATTAAGCCAAACGAAGACTGAATAAAAACAAATTAAAACATGTATATAGTGAAATAAAAACCCGCGATATAATTATTATATTACGCTAAAATCAAATTTAATGGTAAACTTTGTATTATAATGCTAGTGAGATGAGATCGACTGTTATTATTATCTGTGGAGTTTTTTGGTATCTTGAAATGCTTAACACTACACAGCTTCTTGACTGATAGACGGGGGAGGACTGTATCCAAAACCGACTTATTTCTAGTGCGAAATATATTTAAGCATTTCGAGATGCGCAATTAGGAAGTGTTCATTCGAATTTAGTCTAATTGTTATATTTAAATGGAAGGACTCGTGTTTCTTTTGTTGTCAGTGTATTTATGTTATGTTTTCGAAGAAAACAAAAAAAAATATTGCTCAAAAAGTGGACAGTATATTCAAATGAAATATATAAATATGACGTTTCGTTTCGTTTCAAAAACAAACAACAAAAAACGGTTTTTTGTTTATTATATAAACAATCATTTACTGATGGTAGATTTTGCAAAAATCAGTTGTATTGCTCGGTGGGAAAAGTAAATTATACGCTATATAAAATCCACTTTTTATATAAAAAAAAAGGAAAACACATTTAAAACAAATTACTTATCACTGGCTGTATAGGTGGCTATAAATACATCATAAAAACACACACAAACACATCATCATCGTAATATCACGATTAATATTTCTCCTATTTAGGTTTTTGCAAATTTTGAGCGATAATTTTTAGTGTCAACTACGTTTTCGTCTCATGTGATATATGTGCCAATATAATTTTAAAATACAAACAAATGTCGACTAATTTATAACAAAGTACATAGCAAATATAAACGTAAACGAAAAAGTGTAAAACAATAATTTAAAGAGAGTACAAGTTATTAGTGGAAAAAGAATGAAACGCATTTAAAGGCAATGAATAGAGTCAATAATATAAAATGAAGGAAGAAAAAAGTAAAACGTAGATTTAAAAGAAATATGAATATAGAATGGTTTTGAATATCGAAGTTTGTGGGCCTAATTTGATCATTGTGTAACATCCCGTTGATGATTCTCCATTATGTTTTATAAATCCATTGCTATCATTTGAAATATTTTAATATTCTATTCCCATATCTTAAGCTATGTACAATCATTTGTTGTTATTTACGTTCTTCGGATTTACTTATTATATAGTTCGTTCTGTTATATCATTGTCATTGATATGAGTTATTTGAAATTCCAATGTAACAATCAATCAATAAAGTCATTACAATTTTCAATTTCGATGATATCGAGTTCTATTTACCCTAAAGTTAAATAATAGTTTTCATGTATGGATTCAGGTGAGATTACCAATTTTAACAAACAAAAAAAAAGATTTATTATTATTATTCTTTATTTATATAGAATAAAAATTGCACGAATTTTCTTTGAGTTTCAACATTTGTACGTTTTCTTTTACTTATTATTTATTATCGTTATTATTTTGGAATGAGAGTTGAATCAATACTGAGTTTTAAGATTAGTTTATTATTTGTCTTATTTTGTATTTGTGTAGACGTTTTTTTTTTCAAGATCGAAGTTAAATTAAAATCGCTTGTTTTTTTCTGTTATGTTTAGAAAGCAACATCACGAAGAACAACATCGAGAACAACAATTCATTTTTCGCTTCGACACCGAACGCAAAGTTAGCTAATGGCAACTTTAACGACACGATGAATGCGACTCATGGTAGCTACAATCCGTCCAATGGAAATTCTAGTCCGTTACGAAATATGGCCAATGAGAAATTGATGAATAGCTTAAATGCGAACCAGACAACGAACGGGACCAACACGACGACAATAATTGCTGAAATCGAAGGGGAGGTTAAGAAGAGACCTAGATACACCTCAGATAAGGCCTATTACATTGCCAAGGAAATCCTCATGACTGAAATAACATACAAGAAAGATTTAGATGTTATAAATGTGGTTGGTACTTCAACTTTTAGAAATGTAACATAATTATTAACTACTGTTATTTATAGTGGTTTAGAGAAGAAGTTGGGAAAGAAGTCGAAGAATGCTCAATTCTGCTCTCATTAATAGCACCTCTCGCGCAAGCTCACGCCGTTTTGGTTAAAGATTTGGAGCAACGTTTGTTATCTTGGGAAGGACGAGGTGGTCCAAAAGCAGCTCCAGGTCGAATTGCAGATGTGCTCTTAGCGCATTTACCACCGCTGTTACCAGTAAATCAATTTAATTTATTTATTGAGCATGTTGCTAACAGTATTTTTTTTAAAGATATACGAGGAGTATTTGGATGGGCATATAGTGGTCTTGGAGAGACTAGATATATCATTTAAACAAAATTCGCGTTTTGAGCAACTTTACCGCGATTTTGAAACCCAAAAAGTTTGCTATCTTCCATTAACAACATTCGTTCTGAAACCGCTTCAAAGGCTGCTACATTATCACACTTTGCTACAACGTAAATGATATATGCATAACGCATTGCTATTAGATGAATTAACCGACTTAATTTTATAGGTCTATTGAAGCATTATGGACCGACACATCCGGATCGTGCAGATTGCTTGACAGCAAGTGATACTCTTAAGGATTTGATACAACCGGTGGAAGAGACTCTTGCAATTTCCGAAAACGTAGCATCTTTATGCGAACTACAAAGAGACATCACGGGTTTTGATAATATAGTTCAAACGGGCCGTCACTTTTTAAGGCACGGGTGTTTACTCAAACATTCCAGAAAAGGATACCAACAACGCATGTTCTTCTTGGTATATTCATTGCTAATGCTTTCAACATTGAAATAACTAATAGACGTGTTAATTTCAGTTTTCCGATATTTTATTGTACACTTCAAGATCACAGGCTACGTTACAGTTCAAAGTCCATGGACACATGCCACTTCGTGGCGTTATGATCGAAGAACCCGAAGGAGAATTTGCTAATTTCGGTTTAATAATATATGGTAATGTTTGAAAAAGTGACATGTTTAGGACAATTTCATCAATATTGTAATATTTTAGGAGGTAACAGGGCTTTAACCTTAGCAGCTAGTTCGGAAGAGGAAAAAGAAAAATGGAAAGCTGACCTTCAAATGGCGATTCAGCAAGCTCGAGACAAGACAGACACCAAAGTCACTTATTTGAGCTTGAAAAGTTGCAGTATGTTTTATTTATTTCATCATTGTATTTGTGACTTATGTAAATGTAACGTTTTTCAGGTTCTTCGGATGAAATAATTGACCAATGCGGTAACGATGTCAGCACTCAAACTAAGCCAGCAGCATCACAAAGATCGAATACCACTGTACACGTCTGCTGGCACAGAAATACGAGTATAAGTATGAAGGATCAACTGATTGCATTTGACGTAAGTTACTTTTTATTATTTTCTTTAGTAATTTGATGTTACAACGTTTATTTTTTTTTTAGAATCAACTATCAGGTTATCTTTTAAGGAAATTCAAAAGCAGCAACGGCTGGCAAAAGTTGTGGGTGGTTTTCACATCGTTCTGTTTGTTCTTCTACAAAGGATGCACCGATGATTTTCCGTTGGCTTCTCTTCCTCTTCTCGGTTACACGGTTGGACCACCCTTACCTCAAGATGCGATTGGCAAAGATTTCGTGTTCAAATTGCAATATAAGAATCACGTGTATTTCTTCAGAGCCGAATCCGAATACACGTACCACCGTTGGTTGGAAGTGATCGGAAGCGCAACGCAGAGTAAAAATAAAAAGAAAATTGTAGCAAACGAGAATTCTATTGAAACGTCTCCAGAGAAGTAGAGCACCGGTGGTCCAGGGATAGCAACTAATCAAAATGGCTGTGCCATTTACTTTGTAAATACAGTTTGTATTAATTAAACAAAGGTTTAATAATCTAAGTATTAATTTGTGCATTCAAACAAAAAAAAAACAACAAAAAATAGTACATATAATATTTCTCTAAGTGTTTTTTTTTCAAATTGATATTGCGTCATTCCAGAAATTTGTATTTTAAGAAATTTATTTATTGAACCAATAGTGCCTTAATTAAATAAAATAGTTTTATACGTAATTTTTTTTTGTTTGAAAATTGTATATAAAAAAAATTATGTCCGACTGTCAGCATTGTTTTTTTTTAACTCAATATTTAATTAATATTTATTAATTGTTTTTTTGTCTGTTACTTTGTATTTTGTAATCGATCGGTGAATTAAATGTAATTAAAGAAAATGTTAGCAAATGCCAAAATACATTGTTAACATAAGTATTAACTATGTGTTACGAATCTTTTCAAAATTATATATTGTTATCTTGTTTCTTTGATCGTAGCTATTAATGAAACACCAATATTAGGTTTCATAACATTTGAGGTTTTGTTTTACAACAGTGCCTTTAAATATATTTTGTTTATAAAGTTATAGAATTTATTTATTTACATATACAATTTGCAGTAAGACATTTTTAAAAAATAAAATAAAGAAGTTGATGAACAGCATATCTATGAATGACTTTTAATTTAAATGAAGATAATGAAGTAAATAGGAAGTTTAATTATAACGCTAATGTAACGTAAAACTGAACGGAATGTTTGAGGTAAATTAATTAATTGAAATACTTGAGCAATTCCAATTAAAAATGTTATTAGCAGTAATTAATTAGTTTATGTCTGTTTTTTTTATGACTTGCAAATGAATATATAATTAAAGAGTAAATTTAATATGTCAAAAGTAATTTTTTCTCATTTTATTTTCATAAAAGCTCTTGGACTTTTTATTTATTTTATATACTGAGAATAAAATTTATAGCGTCTGTTTATTAATATAAAGCTATATTGACATTCTTGTAAAAAAAATATATTGAAATCGACATAAGTTTATATAATATTTTATGTACCTTCAAATTGAAAACACATAAAATAACTACAATTTATTGCATACATAAAAAAGAACACATAAATCCTTTTGTCATGAAAAACTTTTTCTCGCATAACGAGTATTTCGCATAACGATTAAAATGAATTGTAAGAAAAATGACTCTCTTAACGAACGATTTTTCGCATAACGAGTGACGATGAGATGTATATTTTTGAATATGTTTTACTATACGAGTATTTCACTATAAAATCGGGGAATTTTGGAACGGATTAAACTCGTTAAGTGAGGTTGCACTGTATTTACAATTTTAGAGTTTAATGTATAGCTCAATCACCGTTGATAAGACATCGAAAACTTTCCAAGATAAAGTTAAAAACTCATAACTCACTGTCAGAAGAACCTTCAAACTTCGTTCAATCAAAACGAATAATATAAAGAGTTTTAAATGAAACTCACTTTCTACGCGGAATATTATTGATTATTATATGTCACACTGGATTTAACCATAGGTTGAAAAATTAAATAAAACTTTTAAAATATGCTTTCCATCAATAATTTCTCTTATTAAATCTATGTATTTATTTTATTTACAAAAAAAAGTAGAACATCTAAATGGACTAATTGATTTAATTACGTTTTTCTGTAAATTACTTTGAATAATATTCGAAATATTTATTTTTTATATTATTTTTATTGTTGAACGTTATGTAAAGTTTAAATTAGTCTATGAATCATGAAATAATTAATTGGGAGAAATACATGTAGATTTTATAAAAATAATTACAAATGAAAATTTACTTTTTTTTAAATTTGATATATAGTTACCGATGAAGCGTGTATAGTTAATGTGCATTACGTACTCATGAAGTAAAAGTGAAATCATCTAGCATCTATATATTTTAATAAGACGATTTAGTATAAGAGTTCCACATGTAACTAGATATGCTACTTTCCAAGTCGAAAATTACATTAAAATAATTACTAACAAATATAAACAGTGAAACATTCAAATAAATTAGTAAAAGTTTAACAGAACGTTGTCTTCGACTAGATAATACAATATACAGTGGAACCTCGCTTAACGAACAAAATTGTAAGAAAAATGACTCGCTTAACGAGTGACGATGAGAAGAGAAGTCCCGGATTGCGCGCTACATATTTTTTAATATGTTTCACTATACGAGTAAAAATCAGATTTTGGAACGGATTAAACTAATTAACGGATATAGAATTTTTAACATTAAATATTTATAATAATTATCATTATCTGAATAAATTGTTCTTTTCTCGAATTTTTAGATTGACCCTTATATTTTTGTAAAAATAAATCTAATTTTAATTCGTTTACTGAAAGTCTTGTGATCCAATTATTAAGTTTATAGAAAAATTGGGGAATAAATATTAGTATATTCTAGCTACGTTTTACACACGAATTGCGCACTTTAGATTCGATTATAGTCAAATTAGTTTTTGGCAGTTTCTAGATATTGATTTTGACTTAGCTACATAGTGGTAATGTTCAATAAACATGGAATTCAATTTGCAATAAATACGGAGATAAGGATGACCGGGATGCGACGTTAGCGAGTTTCGAAGCAGAAGGGCCATCGGCATCAATCGCAAGCGCGACGCTGACGCCGCGACGCTTCTCGCGTAACTTTGCTTACATTCTGTCCCATTGATAAAAGTGACCTCAGCGGATACACACACAGTTGTCCCGCAAAAATCGCGTATCAGAGAGACGCGCGCGACGCAGAGAACAGCACAACTACTACAACCAACATTATAATATTTATTATTATAAAACAATCCGTGTTTAATTAATAATTAGTAATTGCATCTCGTGTGCGTAGATTTGTGTGTATAACAACAAAAAAACAGTTTAAGTTTATCGCCGATTGTTTAGAACAATATGAGGTAAGTTGTATTTTCTTATTACTGTACTACAATTGTTGGAAATATGTTATAATGGCACATCGGTGATTGCTTTGTGTACGACAATTAGGAGCGGAAGTGGTTTAGGAATTTGTTAAAAGCCATCATAATGGAACGCACAGAAACGCTTATAATAATTCAGACGAAGTTGTTTGCACTTCGACTTAGCGTCACTTACGCAACACGCATATATAAAAAAAACCTGCAAATTGTGCTAATTGCTGCTGAATTTCTTTTTTAATACACATACACTCAATGTCTTTTATTAGAGATGAACATTCCAGCGTGAAGAGCAGCGTAATGCACATCGGTTTTACATACTTTGCATTTTCTTTTTGAGAACGCTCGAAATTCTTACAAATAAAACACTTGAACACTCGAAACTAATTAATTTACTTAAAACATCATTAGGTCGTAAATTTCTTTTTCTCGTTTTCTTCTTAAATACAGCGCGCTTAAGTTGTAAACATAGGTGTGTATGTGTGTACGTACTAATTTCGTAATTTCGTAACACAGTTTACGAAATATCGATTAATTTATCGCACAAAATATTGACATCTGAAATTAGCAATTTACACGACACAGATCAAATCATCTTTTATTTTATTACTGTTATTCTATAATCGCATTATAATTAATTTGATCATCAAATTAATTATTTTTCCTGATCCCAATAACAAACTTTACCTGAGAATAAAAATATGAGATTACCACATGAAATGTATGCATACATGAATAAAATTTAATAAAATCCACCCGGTTAGATCGTTACACGCGAGTTCGTTATAAAATGCATATTTCCGGTGTGGATATAAAATTAATCATGAATACAGATGAATGAATGACGATTTTTTTCTTTCTTTCTTTTTTTCTTTTACAACTCTATATTGAGCTGCTTTTGGCGATGTCACTAGCATTCACAGTTCTGAAAGAAAGTTTCCCTTTTTTTCGGCTCGTTTTATTGATTCTCCCTCGTTTTCATAATTACCGAATATAAACAAACAAAAAAGAGAAATCATATTTCATTTTTGTTTTCAAACTTTTTTTTCATCTCTAACTTGATAAATGTTAGAATGATCATCAAGCAGAGATGATTTATTATAATAAAATCAGTCGGGCAGTAATAAATACTACAACAATATCTTGCATAGTGCGGTGAATCACCAATATACCGGACTAATCGAGGACCCAAGGATAAAAAATATAATTTTCAGTACTGTTTTTATTTTGCTAAAATTTGTTTCGAAAAATTCACTATAATGAATCCGGACTGATCGGAACAGCACTATGCGAGGTATTATTCACATTGTGTTGTAATTTTATTTAAATTGAATTAAATTAATATTAAAAATATCTAAATTTGTGTTTTACTTAATAATAATTAATATTAATTTTTATATTTATAATAATCAAGTAGATATGATCACTTTACATTAATTCTTTTTATGTGTTAATACGTCAATACGTTGTTTGTTTTCAAACCGTGTTATCGATAATTTCAAAATGCTAACGCTGATTATTCTACGTTCTTTATTACCAAACAGTAGTTTCTTAAAAATCTAATGTAATCTCGCGCTCGGAAAACAAAATGATTACTTAATATTCATTTTTGTTTATTAATTGCACGCTTTATTTCAACTAATTATATTTGAGCAATAATCAATAATATTCTGTATTAAGCGATAATAACACTAATTATTTTTTTATGATATCTAAAATGTATCTAGAAATAATTAGAAATAGTTTGAGATCAAATCTTGATATAATCAACAGTACTAAGTTTCAAATTCTAGTTTAAATATCTTGTATTTATATATAAGAATTACAGTTGTATAGGGTATGGTATGGAGACTGCTATGGGCTTTCGCCTCTTTCAGCCTTCTGATATTAGTTTTTTTTGCAAAAAAAAGAGACAAAAATGACTTAAGCAACCACATTATAAAATGAATGTAAAGGAAAATATATGAAAATGAATTGAGCTGACAATGAATACATAGAGAAACATATGATACAATGGTGCAAAAGAATTGATAATAATTTGATACTAAGTTTCAAGCAGAATAATAGTGTTGCATGAAAAAGAAAATTATCCGAGTGCTACGTTACATTAATATATGGCTTAACTTAGATTTAAT